ATTTGAAAATATAGAAATATTTACTGAAACAAGATAATAAAATTTGTAATTTTAGATTGTATTACATGAAAAATAAACCGACTTCGATTGTGCCAAAACTGGTTGTTTTAATCTAAAAACGAAACTACTGAACCGATTTCGATAAAATTTCTATGAGACCAATCTAAAACTAAGTTTTTCGAATAAAAGACAAATTTTCTAAACCGGTTTATATTTAATAGAGTTATTCGGTTATATTTTTTAGCTAAGATCTCTGATTAGGGACCAGTCTATAAGTATTAAAACGTAATAATTACATGCTCTGTGATAAGTAGCTATAATAAAAAATTTCCAAATAAATTTATAACTAACGGAGTTATGAGGTAACAAACAAAAAATACAAACAATTTGAGAACCTCCTTCTTTTTGTAGTCGGTTGAAAAAAATTATAGAGTATTGAAAATTTTATCCGTGTGGTCCCGGCATAGAATAAGCTACCCTAAGACAAAGAGAGGATGAGGGGTGGGCCTTTACCTATTTATCTATATATTTCATTTTTTTTTATAAATTACCTAAGAAAACTACAGCCGTATCCACGTGAACCGTTCGGACAATCGTTCGATTGATATTCAATTCTGAATTGCGAGGAGAAAGATCGCCCCGGGACAGCGCCCAATTGAATTTGAAAACAGAACATCACTTCCCCCCGTGCCCCTACTCACACCCCTCGTCGCTGCCCCCACGTATGAATACCATCGTTTTTGAATCAAAATAGGATAATTATTATTAACATTTTTATTTTTAATATATTATATTATATTTAATATATTATATTTGTTGTTATTTTTTGAACGGTTTACCTGATTATTACTTACTATTTTATTAAAGGTTTTCAATTCAACTATATTTTTACAAATTTTAGCGACATCATTTACAATAAAGTTGACTTTTCCATGTACTATTTTAAAGGAAAAGAAGAACGTGGGTTGCGAAGTTTAATATTATTATATTCAAGCCCTATTTATTGTAAAAAAAAAAATCAGTTAAGAATTCGCAAACATATCAAGTAACCTAATACAAAATAAAAGACAAAAATGCTGAACATTCACTTTATATATATAAATAGAGTGTAAATCTATCTAACCTGGGTATAGGATTGTTTAGATTATTAGTCGCTTATTCTACTTAGCACTGTCATTTTCCCTCCACTGTGTTGCTAATTATTATTTACTTTTAAAATAAATGATAACAAACAGAAAACGAAGCATTAAGCTTCCTTTTCTGTGCTTTCTTTTTAGTGCCAAAAACAAAAAATAAATATACTTGATGAAACACATTATCATGGTCTCCCTATAGTCCCATGCACAACGCGGCCATTTTCCCGCCCATAGACAACAGTTTTATTGTTTTTATATTTATTTATCCGACGCTGTTTTTGCGTTATTCTGCCCTATCGTTTTTGGCGCGTATCTTTATGACGTAGCAAAGGACTGGCGATGGTCAGCCGATGACAAGAGGAAAGACATAGTAGATTGTTTTTTTTTTCTTATTTCTAAATACAATAAATTTAATAACAATTTAATACCTATTTAAAGTTATTTTTAATAATAATAAATATTTAATACACATCACAATGGCCCATTTGCAATATAATCTCAGCTTAATGTTATTACATCTACTCGTATGTTACAAAAAAAAAACAATTTTGCAGATTTAGTCACCGCACACATTTGAGACATATTACACCGTACACCGTATATATACACCGTACACATTTGAGATCCCAATTTAAGATTTACGTTCATATTTATGGATTTATAAATTAAAATAGTAAATACTTAATAATCCGTACGCTTAATTCGAAAAGGAAATACATTTTATATAATACGAATCCGGCTTTAGCTCAGCTGGCACGATTAAAATGGTAACCTAAAAATGAATAAGTACAAAAAGGGCAGTCTGAATTAAACATTAAATAAATAAAAATTGGATATACCTTCGAAATTTTATCAATTAACTCAGTTGCCTCAACAAGAGAAAGAGAGTAAGAGAGAATATTGAGGTAAGTAATGAACTGAATTATCGAATGAACTCTATCCTCTGTCCCAGTCCATATCTTAGACTTTCGTCTATAACATTAAACCTATTTTTTAAGCCTAATTTATGATCGAATTTAATCAAATATGTGATTGTTGTATAACATCACTATTTCTTGCATTAGTTTCACGATAACAAAACGTCATCGTGTGCCGTTCCATTTTGTGTAAAAGTCCATAAGTATTTAAAAGAATCTTTTTTTAATTCACCTAGAATGCCAAACAAGCAGTCAGCCCACCTGATGGAAAGTAGTAACCGTCGCCTATAGACATAAAAGAGTATACTGTTTCGCCCATGATACCCCTATGCATTGCTATTCTTGAGGACTAAAGTGTTATACCTCTGTACACTATAAATTCACTGCTATATCCTGTCCCTCAAACAAAACACAGCCATGCAAACACAACTGGTTTACGGTAGAAACACGAATGGGACAGACGTACCCAAGCAAACGACTTTTGTACAAAGACTCCATCTGATAAACTTCGTTTAATTTACATGACGAAATTAATTTAACTGATTTAGATGTTACATGAAATTACTTGTTACGCAATATCTTCGTAAATTCTACAGCGATTTTGATTATTATTTCTTTAAAGATTTTCTTTTCCTATTTGATCCATACAATTCTTTTCAATACGGATTTTTTTTTAATAAATTCTTCTTGTAGAACAAAATCTAAAGATACAAGGAATCACCAGAGGGAGACTTTGTACAAACGTCGTTTGCTTGGGTACCTCTCTCCCATTCGTGTTTCAACCGTGAAGCAGTTGTGTTTGCATGGCTGTGTTTCGGTTTGAAGGGTGGGATATGGCATGAATTTACAGGGTACAAAGGAATAACACCTAAGTCCTTAGGAATAGCAACGCATGGGGGGTATCATGGGCGAAACAGTATACTCTGTTATGTCCATGGTACTGCTCATGTCTATAGGCGACGGTTACCACTTTTCATCAGGTGGGCCGTCAGCTTGTTTGCCATTCTAAGTTGTATAAAAAAAAAAGAATCAATTAAGCCGTATCCATATTTTTCTTACAATGTCAGGTGAAGCAAAGGTCCGACTATGATACGTCAGCGCGATTTAGAATAGCCTCCCTCGTTTTATCGTATCTCTACCTTACTAGCAAGACAAGTCCTTCATTTTATACAAAAATCAGCCTTATTATAACCAAATAAAGTTCAATCTTAATTCAAAAGCATGATATACCTATTTATACATATTCCATTTCACCGAATCAATTCAATATGACACGCATTTGATCGCATCGTTTCGCAAAATAACATTGCTACAATGTCACTTTTCGCTAAAATCGTGTCGGTTATAGTACGTACATGAGTACCTAACCTATTTTAAAGGGGGAAAGGGATCGTTAGTAATGCGGACTACCAGTCCCATTGCTAACAATATACCCTGTCAGGTCGACCTCCACGTCGTTCCCCCTGGAAACCATCGTGTGAGTTCCAGGTGTATTCGTCACGATGGGCTGTCTGACCTGCTTTTTTCATTATTCACCTATCATCCCTCACTAGTGCCCGCCAGCGTATACATTAGCTCATGCGGGGTTATCACTCCATTCATCATACATTCAAAAAAAATCTATTTTAAAGGGGGAAAGGGATTGTTAGTAATGGGGACTAATGGCCCCATTGCTAGCAAACCCTGTCAGGTGGAACCCCACCATTTAACCACAATGGGCTCATCGTGAAGAATACATACTTTTCTTAGATTTAGTTTATTCTATATACTTGCTATCAGCTGTCACGCTGCTCCTAACAATGTTGCCAATATAACCATTTTAAGGCCGATCTAGCTTTTCTTGATTTCTCATCTGTGATTTAACAACATCACAATAGTCTTTTAAATACAGAACTAGGATTTAAAGTGATTAAAAACCTTTGCAGGTAAATAATACCAACATACCTGTTTCTTTATTGCCAACGTTTCGATATGGATTGCACCACGTCGTGGTTACTACAAGACTGAAGTGAGCGACGTCTTCGTCAGCCCGCGTAGGCTGCCGGACGAAGACGTCGTCTTTCTTTAAATCCCAATTGTGTATTTAAAATATGTGTAAACAACGCGAAAGTTTAAAATTAATTATTACGATATACTTTTTATGCTACTTAGAATGGCAAACAAACTGACGGCCCACCTGATGAAAAATGGTAATCGTCCCCTATAGACATGAGCAACACCATGGACATAACAGAATATGTTTCGCCCATAATACCCCCCCCCCCCCATGGGTTGCCATTCCTGAGGATTCAGGTGTTATTCCTCTGTACCCTATAAATTCACTGCCATATCCCACACTTCAAACCGAAAGACAATAATGTACACTTAACTCTTACACGTTAGAAACACGAATGGGACAGAGGTGCCCAAACAAACGACTTTTGTACAAAGTTTCCCTCTGGTACAATAATCTCTAGATAGTTTCCAAATACCTTACTTATTACGATATGTCATTTAATAAGGATCAATGAATAAAAGATATAAAGAATAAAAGAATACCTTCAAGCGTAACCCAATATTAAAATTTAGTCAAAACAAAAAGAAAATGTGTTAATTTATAAAAGATATGTATCCAAAAGTGTGTGTGTTTTTTAATTATCATAATTGTAAATAGTAAATCTCTATAACTACTAATTTCATTTTATGAACAATATGTTCAGAACTTTAAATTTTATTAAATCAATAATAATATACTAAATCATTGTCTCTTAACTAATTATATTAGAAACAATTGCCACTATACAAAATTATTGAGTACTACAGGTCAATCAAATTAGTTATAGGTGTATTTGTATTAAAACTAAAGATTTCGGTATAAAACACGTATTTAGTTGGTAACACTAGTCACTCATTCTTTATCATCATTCACGCCATTTGATTGACTGACATTCGCTGCCATTCATCATTGTATCCCGCACCGGATGACTGGCCGGTTGTGAGCGTGGTTTCTATTTTTTTTATATTTTGATAAAATACACAAATAACTTCTAAAATGAAGGGCGATAAAAACGTAGATATTCAAGCTCTTAAAGACATCGCCAACAAGCTAAGAATTGACAGCATTGTCGCTACAAATGCTTCCAAATCTGGGTAAGAAATTAAGTATTGTTATTTCTAACCTCAAATTAATAAATATCTGTTGTTTGCCGGCCGCTTCTTTGAAGGACTAATGAAGGTTAAGGTTTTTTTTATTATAAATACCTATTTTTTTTATATTTACATGAGTCTCTATGTTCAAATATATCACTGGCCACTAATAAATCTAAGCTAAGTATATTTTTTATTCGATATAGCCGTCGATTTAAAATTGCGCATTCAACTCTAGAATGTTTACCTATTTTCAAAATATCTATGCAACCATGTGTAATAAAAAATCCATACTTATTCCTAATAGGGAATTTACTTCTACACTCCATTTATAGATGTATGTCGTTAATCATTTATGTTAATTATATACCTGTTCCGATGTATTCCATTACGGTTTAGGTTAGGTTTTACCCACGTGATTAAAAATTCAAGGTGAACCCATTATCTATGTTGTGCTATGAACATTTTGCTAATAAAACTATTTCGTTGCTGTATTGTTTAGTAGCTTTATTCATAAATTTAACACGTATTTGTATTGTAATAGTAAACATCCTGGTCTGACTAAATTATCTCTAAATGTATACCAAATATTAAAAAAATTTTACTTGTTTAAACTATTTATTTAAGCTTTAGAGCACAGTAAAATTCTATATACATTTGGTGGACTTAACACCGGACGGTGTTCTCTAACAACCAACCATTAGGCAAACTAAGAAATAAGTTGGTAGTGCATTATTGAATAGGGGAAAAATAAAGAAATACTTGATATATAATATAAACATAAAAATGTATCAATAACTTGATAAGTATTATAATAATTTATATTTGAGATTCTGCATGACTAAAACAATTTTTTTACAGATGAAAAAAGAGAGAATAAGTCGAATTGTTGCTCTTATATTCACCTAGATGGACTTAACGAATAAAACTACAATAAATTTTAAATGATGTAACTTCAATGTGAAAAAATATGTTTTTGTATTTATGTTGTGTTTATAGAACTTATTGTATAAATTATTGTGATTATCATATTATTTAAAATACTTGCAAGTAAAAACAAGAAATCCAGTGTATTTATTGTGAAATATTTATAAAAATTTTATTACACAGGTGAAATCACAGTTGTTAGCAGTGTACATATAAATTTAAGAATATTAGAATATGTATATTAAAACAATCATGTTGTGAATCAATAATTCAAAAACTACAAATAATTTTAATCCTCCCATACTTATGATCATATCGTCATAGTGGTAGAATACAGACGGATCTATATATTCAATTTTTGTCAGATCCATCAGTATTCTACGACTATGACAATATATACATATGCCGATGAGGTACAAAATTTCATCAGTTATCGATCCAAGCAAGAAGGTTAGCTTGTAAAACACTGCCCTGAAAAGATGCTTTTTCAATTTTACTCTCTATACATATGTGATTAGATACACAAAATAGACATTAAATATAAACTACTATTCCATTTTCATCCCATAGAAAAATATCTGTTTGATATCTTTTCAGTGAAATTTCAATTTCCCTAGTCAATTACATTAAAGTTGTCAACAGAAAATAGTATTTTTATTGAAAAGAGACATATTCATAAGCTAAGGGGAGGAAGGAACTGTTAGCAATGGGATCTAATAGCCTCATTGCTAGCAATATATCCTCTCAGGTCGACCTCCATGCGGTTCCCCCTGGAAACCATCGTGGTTAATAATTGTTGAATTCATCGCAATTGGTCAACTGACTTACTTCATCTTCACCTATCATCCTTCACCGGTGCCCCAACAACAGCACCCAATAATAAAAAAATAACAGCACTCAATAGTGCTGGCAACCATTCTAATTTCACTCATTAGAAAAAAATCTAAATTTCATAAAACTATTCACTGAAATGTATTATATACATAGAGGCTTCTATTTCCACCTGAGATTAAAAAAAGTATTTTTGACTACTAATATTACTTACTATCAAGGGGGAAAAGGATTGTTAGCAATGGAGTTTGACAGCCCCATTGCTAGCGATATACCTTATTAGGTCGACCTCCACGTGGTTCCCCCTGGAAACCATCGTGAACAATTCTTATTGAATTCGTCACGATGGGCTAACTGACCCACTTCATTCTCACCTATCATCCTTCACTGGTACCCCGCCGGTGTATACCGATAGCGCGGGTGGGGTTACCATTCCATTATCATCCATTTAAAAAAATATTACTATGATCCACCAGCGAATATAGATTAAAGATAAGAATATTCTCAATTAAAATATAGTCTATAGTCACGAGCAAACACATGTCATCAGAGATATAGATAGGACTAGATGACGCAATTATCTCATCTCTACGAAAAATGTGCCATAATTAAATTATATGCTATGATGTAACTAAAACTTTACTATTTACGACCCATTTTCCGCATGAAACGCTTTTAAATATATAATATGTATATGAAAACGAAATGTGTCGCTTCTAAATTACAAATCTTTATGTTACGAAAATAATTTATCAATAACAAATCCCCTTGCACTACACTGTTTCGAAAATTCCACTTATAAAATTATTTTCGTTAATTCAAAATTTTTTTTATTAGACTTATTGTTCCGGAAATCTGAATAGATATTTATCCTAAGCTAAATATTATATATATATAATAGCTATTTTGAGCCTATTAAAGCCAAAAAATTATATACAAATTATGTTACAGTTGCGACTCAGTTCATATTTATGTTTGTTCATATAATATATTTACATTTATATGATAAAAACCCGTCAAATTAGAGATCATCACCATCATCATCATATCAGCCTTTAACTGTCAACTGCTGAACATAAGCCTCCCCCTTGGGGGGGTTATGCCAGTAGTTGCCACGATGGCAGGCAGATTACAAACCGCAGTTAGACTTTGGAGAGGTTTTAAGAGGTATGCTGCTGCCCATTCCTCGCCCTCCCATAGTCACACACAAGGAAGGGTTGGCCTATTCTATGCCGGGAACACACGGAAATTAGAATTCATAATACATATAAACCTTCAAACTGTTAAAGAATATCTAAATGATACTGGAACTTGTACCAAAATCCATTACAAGATTAGGAGAAACTTGAAATGGAGAAACAAACAAACATGGACCGCAACTCCATTTCATCATCATCATTTCATCCGTGAACTGTCCACTGCTGAATATACCATAAGCCACTACATTATAATGCCATGCCATTATACTATAATATTAAATATTAAGCTATCGTAATTATCTGGCATTTTAATTTTTTATATATTCTGAATTAACGGTTTAAGAGTGTAAAATAATAATAAATATGAAAAATAATGGAATTCTGAGAAATGAAACCTCTAAGATTGCTGAAAACATTAATATTATTTGCTTATTCTATTTTATTTGTATTGCTGTAATAATTGCAGCTTTAGTGTTACGGTATCCATGACACTACCACGGTACCTATCAGAATATCAACCCTACCCACAAGACTGAGAATCCCATTGCTAGCAATATACCCAACCAGGTCCTCCTCGCGGTTCTCCCTGGAAACTATCATGGTTAATTCCTGATGAATTCATCATGATGGGCTAACTGGCCTGTTTTCATTCTCATCGATCACCCTTCACTGGTGCTCCGCCAGCGTATCCCGTTAGCGCAGGCCATACCATTTTCACCCATCAAAAAAAAAAAACCACCTACAGTAGGTACTGTATCCGAAGTTAGGGGCTTAATACAGAGATAGGGACCCTTTTGTTTTGTGGTCAATAAATATTTTCTATTCTATTTCATATACCGTCGCCAAAATTATATAGTTAATATATATTTTTGCCTACTTATATAGGCAGTTTTTATGCAGAACTTTCATTGGGCACATTTAAGAAGGAAGAATGAAAAAAACTTCCAAAGCTTTTCTCCAACAGTGGAACAGTACAGGCAATTAATATATGGAAACAAAAAGTGTATCTAATGATAATGTTATTAAAATTTATATCTCCGATATCAAATACAAGTACTGTACAATTGAGTCAATTATATTAATTCTCTATTCTATGGTAGTGATTGTTTCACGCTTGACCTTTATTTGTCATTACATAACCTTCGCCGCTATAGATAGACTGTCGGTGGCATATCTCGCTAAAATAATAAAATTTTAACTGGACCGTGTGTACTTAAGAGATATTTAAGAAACATTGATGTGAGGGGTTTAAATGGGAATAATATAACTGTGTTTCGGTTTGAAGGGTGGGATATGGCGTGAATTTACTGGGTACAGAGGAATAACACCTGAGTCCACAGGAATGGCAACGCATGGGGGCTATCATGGGCGAAACAGTATACTCTGTTACGTCCATGGTACTGCTCATGTCTATAGGCGACGGTTACCACTTTCCATCAGGTGGACCGTCAGCTTGTTTGCCATTCTAAGATGTATAAAAAATTATATATATATATATATATATATATATATATATATATATATATATATATATATATATATATATATATATATATATATATAATGTTTACAATTTTTGTTGTCTGTTTTGTTCCAGCATCACACTATTTACTAGACCAAATTGTATGCAATTTTCACAGTTGTATTCCTGAAGGTCTAATTTAAAAACTGGTGCATATTTTATCTCGATACGCCATCTAGAAGTGACGTTTCATTGGTTTTCCTGCTTTTGAAATATACGTGTACGAAGTAATGGACTAAAAGCTAGTTAATGTTATAAAAATACATTCATTAATTAAATATAATGTAAAAAAATACATATAATCCAGTTAATTGGTCATAACATTATTCAACATTCCAACCTCTTTAGATAAATATGACTGTTTTTTTAATAAATTATGTAAACAAGATAGTAATTAATGCTATTATTTTTTTTAATTATCTCACTTTTTTTTTCTCTTTATACAGAGATAATAGAATAAACAAGATATATATTAACCTAAATTTTTAAGCAAACTGCATGATAGTAAAGCTTATGCATTGTTAAATTGAAATTATCTTTTTTCGAAAGAATTGTTTTTGGAGGAGTGCTCCAGCAGTGAAACTCAACTTTTTTCATTGAAGTCGGATGTTTTTTTCTTTGTGAAACACAATGTTAAATTATTCTGCGGCGAATAGTATATGGCGGTTTGGCCAAGTCACAAAATGGTTAATCACGGAAATTACTTTGATTTAAACTTCACCATTTTTTTTTTAGAGCTAGAAATATGTTATAAAATGAGTTATACTATCTTAGTCATCAAAAATGACAACGCGTGAGCGGTACTGTACATTGCGATGTATAGTTATATGGTTGTAGGCGACGAGTTGGTTATCCCTTTCCCTATGATGGGCCATCAGCATTCTGAGTACCATACAATACGGAAATATTAACTATTTTACTGTAATAGACTACTATCTATTAACACTCATTTTGGAGGGGAAAGGGGATTGTTAACAATAAGATTTAATAACACTCTTACTGGTATATACTCTAACAAGCCGACTTCTACGCTGTCTCCCCTGTAAACCATTGTAGTTAATTTTTGCGGAATACGTCACGATTTGACCTGTTATCATCCTCACCTATCATCTTTCACTGGTGTTCCGCCATCGTATACCGATAGCGCAGACTGAGTTATCATTCCATTTTCATCCATAAAAAAAACCCACTCAGTTTGCCATTTCAATTCATATTTGTTTTTTTTTTTTGCTGTCTAATGTAATGTAAAAGTAAATGACGTATAATACGCTTCTGGCTTTCATAACATATTATTTTTATTTTGAATCGCAGCAAAAAATAAACAATAATATAAATCAATGTTGACTTTAATATTATCATTGTTTACTTGGTACTTAACAATTTAATTATTAAAACGTGTCTCATATATTATCAAAAGAAAACTCTCGACGAGTAAATTTAATTACTTGTTATCACTTAATTACAAGGTCACGTCGTGTACCACCCTGAACCTCGAGATATGCATATTTTTTTTTTATTGACGCATTTATTTTTGTAACTCAAATCTCTGTTTATAATAAAATCATAAAGTGTAGGCAAAATGTACACGATCATAAGTACTTTATTACAACATTATCTTTCTTCTTACCACACTGTAGAATGATAATAATAGTTTTTTTATCTATAAGAAGTAAAAATATTATGTTTCAAGGTAAAAAACAATATTTAAATTCACCAAATTAGAACAGGAATGGGACACTTTTCGTTAAAAAAATTAGTCAATCCACAATTGATGAAAACATTTTGTATATTCATCATCATATCGGCCTTTAATTGTCCACTGCTGAACATAAGCCTCCCCCTAAGGGGGTAGCCAGTAGTTACCACGCTTGGCAAACGGATTGACAACCGCAGTTGGACTCTAAAGTTTTAAGAGGGATGCTACTGCTCATCCCTCGCCCTCCCTTAGTTTCCTCTTACGACATCCACGGGAAAGGAAGGGATGCCGGGATCACTCTGCCAATTTTAAATATTATATATAAACCAAAAAAACTTTTTAAAATGTACCTATTTCATTATATAACTATATATTTCAATAATGGTTCAATTTAAAATAAAAAGTCGAGACTATTATTACTCATTTGTAAAATTATAAACATATTAGAAGCTAGTTTTTAACAGAATGTAACCCCGCCTTCTCTGTCAGTATATACTGTGGGTATATTTAGTCCCCCGTTGATTTTCAAGGGGCATTAAGTATAAAGTTATTCTGACTAAATCCTTTTTCAGTCATTCAGTCCTAATAAATTCACTGTAATAATAAACTGTCAATTTTCAGACATCCCACATCATGCGCTTCCATGGCGGAGATCATGTCTGTGCTGTTCTTCCACACCATGAAGTACAAAATCTCTGCGCCCAAGGATCCATCGGCAGACAGATTTGTCCTCTCGAAGGTTTGTATAACAGATTGTCAGATACACCACTGTAGCACAGTGGTACGGATGTTGCGTAAATAAGCTCCCGGATTTGATTTCCATGATGACAATTTAGGAACTAATGTTTTTGAATTAGCTCGAATCTTGTAGTTTGGGGATGTGCCTCCAGATTGACATTGCCTGGTTCCTCCTGGTTACTATTATTATACTGCGTGATCCCTTTATTCTAAGAATTTGCAGTCTCGGATTCAAGCAATATTGGCGATCAACGACAATAGCTTTGAATTATCGAGAAGAAAGAGTTACCCAATTAAGTGACTTACAAGATGACAGACTCGAGATGATTTCAGAAGTTGCAGAAAGCAAGATACTCTGAACAATGTTCCTATCTAACAAATTGATATAAATTACATTCATGAATATTTAAATTATCTGACTTTATTATAAATAAAAGCCTCGCTACAGAAATACTTGATAGGATAGACAGACGCACTTGTGGACTGTTACCTTTATGGTAACAATAAGTTATGTCTGTAACCGTAAATTTCCTTAAGCATATAGAATTTAAAGTTAGCCCACCTTTATATTTTTCCATAGCCTAATATACATATATAAGTTACTATTTTACTTTCTATCAGGGTCACGCCGCTCCAATCCTCTACGCAGCATGGGCTGAAGCCGGTCTATTCCCCGTTGATGAGTTAAAGAACCTTCGTAAACTCGACTCTGACCTTGAAGGCCACCCGACCCCCAGACTTAACTTTGTAGATGTGGGCACTGGCTCATTGGGACAGGGTCTAGCTGTTGCTGCCGGTATGGCATACGTCGGAAAATACTTCGACCAAACACCTTACAGGTAATTTAAATTGTAATTCTAAATATTTAACAATTTCCAACAAAAAAAAAATGGCTTCAAACGTCACAAAGTGAATATCCGGCTCGAAGGATCATATATTAGAGTAATATTGAGGTTTTACTGTTAAAAGACGTTTCTTGCTCGGTGTGTTACTTCATACGGATTATTTACTGATATCCTTAACTAAGAAAATCTTGTACTAACAAGTTAACTGATTCCTAACATCGCCTATACCATATTTAATTATAAATTCACTAGTATAGAGGCTAAATCATCATTTAATTATTTATATATAAATTTTATTGTAATAACTACCGGTTTAACTTACGCATAATTAGATCGAAAAAGCTCGACTAGTTTCGGAATCAATTCGTAATCCTTAGTCATGAGCGACTGTGACGTAAGCACGAGTCTGACTGCGTGCTACGGCCCACTGTGCGCGAGCTGTAAGCTTTTGCGATATCGTCACAGATGAGAAAGACGATGTTCGGAACTTTTCGAGTATGGAGGGTAATTATTACAATAAAATATAACGTGTGCTTGTATACAAACTGTTAAATATGGTTGAAGCTGATACAACTAACACCGAATTAAACCTTCGATAGCCTAAACTTTTCATGAGTACGTTATCACGTATTTTTTCCTCATATCCAGAACAACAGAGATACAAGAACGTTCTAACGTCCAATATTACCATTACAGAGTTTACTGTTTGGTGGGTGATGGCGAGGCAGCCGAAGGTAGCATCTGGGAGTCCCTGCACTTCGCCAGCCACTACAAACTGGACAACCTGGTGGTCATCTTCGACGTCAACCGTCTCGGCCAGTCTGAGCCCACGTCTTTGCAACATCAGGTAACCAACTCTCTCTTCAGTCGTACACTCTTGACAGAATGGTCATAGTTTTCATGATTATAGTGGATGGTAAAGGCTAAATGAAAGGTAAAGTATAAGTCTAAGTGATTGAGGTCCTTACAATGTGCCTCCATCTATTTCTGCTGAGTGAGAGCATACCACAATAGATTGCTGTGTGGTCGTTTTGACTTTTTTTTATACAACTTAGAATGGCAAACAAGCTGACGGCCCACCTGATGGAAAGTGGTAACCGTCGCCTATAGACATGAGCAGTACCACGGACATAACAGAGTATACTGTTTCGCCCATGATACCCCCCATGCATTGCCATTCCTGAGGACTCAGGTGTTATTCCTCTGTACCCAGTAAATTCACGCCATATCCCACCCTTCCGTCAGATGAGGTCTGTCCATCATCCAACCAACTACTGATCTACTAAGATTTAAGGGCCTTTCACATAAAAAACTAGAATGTAAGACAAGCTGATTAGACCTGTTAGAATACATTCACTTTCTATTATAGTAATGAAATACTAAGTCTCAATAACCTCAATTAATATATGTATTTCTTCCTTTATTCATTTTAAAATAATTGTGTAAACTCCATTTCTAGAAGTTTTTTTTTATACCATTGAAGTGGCAAACAAGCATACGGCCCACCTGATGGTAAGCGGTTATCATAGCCTATGAACGCCTGCAATACCAGAGGTATTACGCGCGCGTTGCCGACCCTGAAGAAACCTCTTTACCCCCCTCTTGAAGAACCCCATGCTGTAGTCTCTTGGGAAAACCTCGACAGGGAGCTCATTCCATAACCTGAGTGTTCGTGGGAGAAAACATCTCTGAAACCGCGTTGTAAGCGAACCAGGCTGTAAGGTATGAGGGTGAACTCCCTGTCGATGGCGAGCTGTACGATGATAGTTTCCTATTCGTTTATGATAAGTCAAGCTAGCTATTTTATATATAGAGTTATGTGTTTGTAAAATTAAGTGACTTGTTAAAAATACATTAAAAATATAAAAAAAAAAAAAATATATCTTCTATCTATAGATGGTTGACAACCAACCAACAAAGCTTTCTTCCTTTCATTCTGTTGTAAAATAATTTACTAGTGCAATTTTATATGCATAGGATATAAATTTATAGTTTTATCAATAATCATGGAGATTATCGCCTACTTTTTTAATATTTTTTTTTTATTTAACTTAGAATAGGAAACAAACTAACGGTCCACCACGAAAACTGGTAACCGTCATCTATAGACATGAACAATACCATGGACATAACAGACTGTTTCGCCCACGAAACCTCCTATGCGTTGTCCTTAGTTATTCCTGAAGACTACAGTGCTATACCTCTATACCTGGTGAATTCTAATTCTGCAATAAATCTTCAATAAATATAATATAACCGAAATATTAATTTTACTAATCAATCAATCATCTGTAGTTGAACGTATACGACGCTCGCCTCAAGGCGTTCGGCCTCCACTCGCTCGTGGTCGACGGTCATGACGTCAGCGAATTGGTCAAAGCTTTCGACGAGGCAGCCAACACCAGTGGCAGGCCCACCGCAATTGTTGCCAAGACCTTCAAAGGACGGGGCTTCCCTGGTATCGAGGATCTGGACAACTGGCACGGAAAGGCTTTGGGTGCTGAGGGAGAGAAGATTATTAAGGTTTGTTAATATTTTCCCTTGCAAAGATATTTGGCGAATGTAGGAAAACTGGACCCATAATAACCTGTACACTATATTATATATCCTTAATAATCCCAATTCTCCTTCCTACCTTCGTTCCCGGTTCCAATTATTACCTCCTCCTTCCAGACCTAGACGTCTTTGTCTGAACCAGTCCAGGGTACTGAAGCTTCCCTGCTGTAAAACCCATTTTATGGGTAACTCATTTGCATATCGTGCTGTACAGCTGTGGAATAAACTTCCCGTGAATATTCAGAATAGCCCGTCTAGCAGTTCCTTCAAAAAAAGATTAAAATCATTTTATCTTTCCAATTTAATTTAAATATAAAAATGATTAGAAGACTGTCATCATTGTGTTCTCTTGTATTTGATATTTATATGTTGTATTTAACGTGTGTATGTATGTGTGTATATGTATGTGTATGTGTATATGTATATATATGTGTATGTGTATGTATGTATATATGTGAATGCATGTGTGTATATATATAATTATTTATAATTTATGTAAATATTTATTTAAATTTCTGTCTTGCACTACTACTGCCCACTCACTACTTCCTATGCCACTGCGTTAGGTTGACTGGAAGAAATCTCTTTTAGAGATAAGTTCGCCTTTGCTAACATTGTTATTAACTTATTGTTGTTACTGTATGTTTTTTGTGCAATAAAGAATATATATATATATAAAATAATTCTGCACAAATTCAAACCATATTCAAATTAAATACATTTTTTCTTGCTTTTAGTGATAAGGTTTTTTTCTCACCCATTTGTTTTCTCACTGTGATTATTTCTTGTAATTTGTTTGTATCTATAATGAGTTTGCTATTGTAATCTTTTGGAGGAAACAATAAAGAATATCTACCTTGCAAACAAATATGTAGAGTTGCCTGTTTTCTTTCGTTTAAAATTTTGCATTGAAGCCTTATACAATTCAATACAATTGAATGTAAGTTTCTTAGCCTATAATTAAAACAATGATTTATTTATTATGTAAAAACTAAAAAAAGAAAGAGTTTTGTTGTTGAGTTTTATTTGCGTTTTGCGTGTTTGTTATGGTGACGTGAAATAAGTGACGTCAGAAAATAAAAAAAGTCGCAAATATTTTTAAACTTTTTTTTTTTTTTTATAAAACTTAGAATGGCAAACAAGCTGACGGCCCACCTGATGGAAAGTGGTAACCGTCGCCTATAGACATGAGCAGTACCATGGACATAACAGAGTATACTGTTTCGCCCATGATACCCCCCATGCGTTGCCATTCCTGAGGACTCAGGTGTTATCCCTCTGTACCCAGTAAATTCACGCCATATCCCACCCTTCAAACCGAAACACAGCCATGCAAACACAACTGCTTCACGGTTGAAACACGAATGGGACAGAGGTACCCAAGCAATCGACTTTTGTACAAAGTCTCCCTCTGGTAAACTATACTTTATACATTAATTTTATTCTTATGGCAGACAATTGGGCAGGTGTTCAACAGTAAATATGAAATAACTGAAATTATCTTGAATAATTTGAGACTGTGTTAAAAAAAAACCGATTGTGATAAAACCGGTTAATTTAAAAGCTAAACTACTAAACCAATTTCGATAAAATTTCTCTGGGACCTATCTAAAAGAAGAAACAAAAAGATGAAAAATAGATTTTTCCACATTAGTTTATTCAGTTGGTCAATTATATCATTTTACAACTATATCTAAACATAAAATTTGTTCATTAAAGAACGGAGTTACTCATAACTCCATACTGTGTACTCCATACAACAACATATATCCATAATACAACTAGAAAACCTCCTTTTTTAAAGTCACTTAAAAAGTTTTTATTAAGTTTTAAAAGCACAAGTGCACAAGATGATATCTAAATTTTACCATTATTCAAATAATTCATTTCCCCATCACTATGTTTATCGTTATCAGTCGATTCTTTTTCTTTTTTTTTTTTTTTCTTGATATTGATGGTTATCTTTATATCTCTCCACAGGTTCTACAGTCTCAAATCAAGAACAACACAGTAACGTTAAAACCCAAGCCGCCAACGGCCGAAGCCCCTAAAGTCCACATCGGCGACATCACCCTCTCATCACCGCCGTCGTACAAGCCCGGGGAGCAGGTTGCTACCAGGTTGGCCTACGGTACCGCCCTTAAGAAGATCGCTGATACCAACTTGCGGTAAGTGAATATGAATAAATAAATGTTTCCAGTGTATCTGGTATGTATTAGCACAACGCCATGTAGGCCCAAACTAAACAGAACATGGATTATATGTACATTGAAGAAGATCACGCCTCACTAAAAGGGGCACTATTCCCGTAACCCGGGAGTAGTCACTCTTGTAGTTGATGCCGAAGCTAATGGCAGCAACTTGAGGCCCCTACCAAACCTCCCTCAGAAGGTATGAAGATCGGATTAATTAATTATGGATATTGGACAATTCATTTTTTTTTTATCACTTAAAGGGGAGGCCTATGTTCAGCAGTGGACAATTAACGGCTGATATGATGATGATGAAATATCTTTTATTAAAACTTTGAAGTCTTTACGTCTTTCTTAACTAGAGAGACTAATTAAAAGCACGTCTGTTAGCGGCAACATACAATTGTGCAAGAATTTTTGGAAAACTAGACGTCGAATTAATTTTCTATTCCTTCTGCAATAACGCCACCTACCGTGTAATAAACCAACTGCTGAGCACAAGCCGGTATTTACACCATAACACAATAGATGGCGTCCCCATGTATTGATTTTTCAATATATTGTTAAATTTGTCACCAGATAGCACTCCTTTCGTAGTGTAATTTGAAATACACTTCACAGCCAGCAGAAGGATGTGGGTTCGAATCCCATTGTTGCGTTTAGTTTTTCGTTGTAATATTCAGTTTGAAAGAAAGGTCTATTTGGCACTAGTTAAATATAAATGTGGTACACACAATGTGTATTTCATTGACACAAGTGCTAGATTAAACATGTATGTCGTACTCATGCGACCGTTATCGGATGCCGTGAGCAGTAGCATTCATACACTTCATACTTCTACCTGTATAATGATATAGTAAGAGAAGAATATTGATAATCATCTTCCTACCCTTATCCCAATTTATTATTTGGGGTTGTCGTAAGATGTTTTTCTTCTCCATTCGTCTATTTGTATGTAAGAGAAGAATATAATATGTAATACACCTATCCCCCGATTTACACGGTGGATACGTTCCTGAGAAAAACGTGTAAATCGAAAATTAAAAATTTTTAAGTCAAAACCGTGTAAATCGAAAAGCTTGCAGAAAACGCATATTTTTGCTATTTAACAGTTGTGATTTTTTTCAATATTTTTAGGTGTACACAGAAATAAAAATAAAATGCATTGACAGGTTAAAATATGTAATATATTACGGAAACACTGTTTTTTATTTAATTACAATACATTAAACTAAAAAAATAAATCTTTCTGACACTGTGAAACTTTCACTCAAATACAATTTTCCGTAGATAAAACTTTAATTTTATGCGAAGAAATACAGACACAGTGTGCATGTGCAGCAAGTCAGCACATAAGCTCGGGATTCCCCATGAGATGTGTACACAGCGCACGTGTTCAAACACAGTAGCATTTAGTAGAGTGCGATAAAAACAAAAAAAAAAACTTATTTGGAAAACCGTGTAAAAGCGAAAACGTGTAAAACAAGTACCGTGTAAATCGGGGGATAGGTGTATAATATATATTAGGTCAGAATCACTCTATAAAACCGATCATGACTAGTTCTCGGTCTAATCTTGACATGGCGAGATATTATCAAAAGGAAACTCTTCAAGATTTAACTAGAGACAAATAAGTATTGTATTGTAAAATCTTTATTGTACATACTTTTACATCGGACACATTAACATCTGGTATAATTAATAATACACATAATAACTACATAAATATAAACATAAATTTCAAAAACAAAATAAACAGTGGACCTAATGAAATATTTATTTGTCGTATGATTTATAAGTGTTAAATATATTTCTTTGCAGTGTGATCGCAATGGACGGTGATACCAAGAACTCTACGTTCAGTGACAAGCTACGTAACGCATACCCTGAGAGGTTAGTGTTTTTTTTTTTTTTTTTTTTTTTTTTTTTTTTTTTTTTTTTTTATGCAACTTAGAATGACAAACAAGCTGACGGCCCACCTGATGGAAAGTGGTAACCGTCGCCTATAGACATGAGCAGTACCATGGACATAGCAGACTATACTGTTTCACCCATGATACCCCCCATGCGTTGCCATTCCTGAGGACTCAGGTGTTATTCCTCTGTACCCTGTAAATTCACGCCATATCCCACCCTTCAAACCGAAACACAGTCATGCAAACACAACTGCTTCACGGTAATCTATAGCTATATTTATAATAAATCTGTAGAGAAGTCAATTCTGTACATGAAATATATTTCCAAAATAACTATCAGGAGGTGATTAGTGATCGATACTGATGCCAAAAATGCAATCAGTAAAATTTTTGTCTGTCTGTCTGTATGTTCGTTATAGAAACAAAAACTACTCGACGGATTTTAACGAAACTTGGTACAATTATTCTTCATACTACTGGACAGGTTATAGTATACTTTTCATCACGCTATGATCAATAGGAGCAGAGCAATGAAGGGAAATGTTGGGAAAACGGGAGAAGTTACTTCATTTTTAAGTTTCCGTCGCGTGTGCAGCCAAAAGTGGCCATTCAGGCCACTTTTTAAAATGTAAAAATGTCCACCCGCGCGACGCTGGGACGGGTGTTAGAATAAATACGCTCACGATAGTAATCCCTAACAGGATAGTCAGGGCCATTTGTCAATGGTTGTCTTGTCTCCATAAAGCTTGCCGTTATAGAAAACAAAGTGTTTTAAATGAGTGTAAATGGAGTGGTGTAACCCTACCTGCGCTATCGGTATACGCTGACGAGGCACCAGTGAGAGGTGTTAAGGATGAGAATGATGCAGGTCAGTGGGGCTATCGTGAAAAATTCATTAAAAATTCACTTCGATGGTTTCCAGGAGGAACTGCGTGAAGGTCAACTTGATACGATATATTGCTAGCACTGCCCATTACTAACAATCCCTTTCCCCTAAAAAACACAGTTGAAACACCCACATATCACTGATTCCAACGTCGTCTCCCCACCCTACCACTGTCACTAGCATTTTTTTTTATTAATGAATAGTTTTTAATAAGTAAACACTGTATGACAGGTACATCGAGTGCTTCATCGCTGAGCAGAACCTGGTAGGCGTGGCCACCGGTGTCGCGTGCAGGGACCGCGCGGTCGTCTTCGCTTCCACCTTCGCAGCTTTCTTCACCAGGACTTTTGATCAGGTTAGATTATCAATCAATTTATTTATTTACAAGAAATACGGGTTATTTAGATAGCACAATACAGAAATCGCTGTGTAGGTCCCGGCATAGAATAGACTACCCTGTGGGTGTCGTAAGAGGCAACTAAGGGAAGGCGAGGGATGAGCAGCAGCATCCCTCTTTAAAGTCTAACTGTTGTTGTCAACTCGCCTACGCATGGCAACTACTGGCAAAACCCCCCAAGGGGGAGTTCATGTTCAGCAGTGGATGATTAAAGGCTGATATGATGATGATACCCATGGTATAACTTGTGTATTGCCATTTCTGAGGATTACAATGTTATGGTGTGATCACACCCTTCAAACTTGCAGCACAGTGAAGCTTCACGGCTGTTATTGCTGTCCAATAGTTTATAATTTATCTATCCTATTTGAGAGCTGCGCTCTTATCGGTGGAGCTCTTGCCGCTCACTACGATTTTCAGCGAGTCTCTTTACCTCTTGATACGACACGACACCAACTCCTTCCTTGATCTGCCTGATATAACTATGTCTCGGCCTCCCTCTCCCCCTCCTTCCTTCTATCTTACCGTCTATTATAATGTTCATAAGTTCATCGTGTCGTATCAAGTGTCCCAACATTTTTCCCCTTCTGTCCTCAATAGTTCTAATAATTTGTCTTTTTTCTTTAACCCTAAGCAGGACCTCCTCATTGCTAATTCGATCCCTCCAGCTAATTTTCTCCATCCTTCTAATAATAAATGCCAACATTGACGTAATTCGGTAAATTTCTATATAAAGTGTTCTTCTTAATATTTTTGTATACATTATTTTTCTTTTATATCTCTAGATCCGTATGGGCGCCATCAGCCAGTCGAACATCAACTTGGCCGGGTCGCATTGTGGTGTAAGCATCGGAGAAGATGGACCCTCGCAGATGGGACTCGAGGACTTGGCACTGTTCCGCTCCGTGCCCACCGCCACTGTTTTCTACCCCTCGTGAGTTACAAGTTTCGAAGCATATACAATTAATTTAAAGGAGAATTACTAAATAACTAAAATGACGCTTATAGGTGGCTCTAGCCCGTGTAGCGCTCGTGAACAATAAATACCCTAGCGCCCTCTAGTAGGTGCGCGGCCAAAATGATATACTTACACAGTTCAAAATTGAACGGAAATTCGGGTGCAAAATTTTAAATAATGTTGGAGTAAAAAAAACTTTTTAGTAAGAAAGAGGGGGGGTTATGAAATAAAAAAAGCTATTGTTGTGTCCACTGCTCAACATAATCTCCCTCATAAGGGAGGTTTTGCCAATTTTGAAATAACTACAAACTTGAGCCGATTAGGTCTCCGGCAGCAGCATCCTTCTTAAAACATCACCAAAAGCTAAACTGCGGTTGACAATCCACATGACAAACGTAGCGACTTCTTCGCTTATTTCTATATTTAGCAGTGTACAGTTAATACCTGATACAACAACATTTTATAAACCAAAAAAATGTATGTGCAGTGACGCAGTATCAACGGAGCGCGCAGTGGAGCTGGCGGCCAACACGAAAGGCATCTGCTACATCCGCACCTCGCGGCCCAACACACCCATACTGTACCCCAATGACGAACAGTTCAAGGTATGTCACTCTACATAATCATCACAAATCCTTAAAATGGGGGGGGGGGGAGAAAATCCCATTGCTAGCAATATACCCAACCAGGTCACCTCCTCGCGGTTCCCCCTGGAAACTATCGTGGTTAATTCCTGATGAATTCATCATGATGGACTAACTGGCCTGTTTTCATTCTCATCTATCACCCTTCACTGGTGCTCCGCCAGCGTATCCCGTTAGCGCAGGCGGGGTTACCATACCATTATCACCTATCAAAAAAAAATCCTTAAAATGGGGGACAACCGATTACTACGTCTGTTACGTAAGGACGTGCCATGTTAACCTAGATACTACAGTCACTTTTTTTTTACTTTTTTTTTGCCGTTTACATTGTTGTTTTCCCTGTTTTTTTTTTTTTTTTTATTGTCCTCACGAGTGGCAATGAGTGAGGTTTATCACGGGTGTATTTTATTGGTAGTATATTTTTGTTACTGTTTGGTTCGGAATCTTGTTATCTGCTGAGTAGAACTCACAAGAAACTCAAAAGTAGCTCTTCAATTTATTTATTACAAGATAATTTTACATTTATATGGGTACTGTACCGTGTGAAAAAAACAAGTAATCAGCTTTCACCCGCGACCTCGTCCGCGTGCCCGGAATATGTTTACTAATCGGGTTAAAAAGTAACCTATCCCCTTCTCCATCTCATACAGTATGTGAATGTCAAATTTCAGTGATTGGTTAAACCGTTAAGATGCTATAAGTAGAACAAACAAATAAACAAACTCACTTTCATAATCATAATATTAATGCCTTATTGATTTTATAACTATGTAAATTATTCACCAGGTTGGTCAAGCTAAGATTATTCGTGAATCTCCAAAAGACCGCGTGCTGCTTATTGGCGCCGGCGTCACGCTCCACGAGGCGGTAGCTGCCGCGGACAAGCTCAAGGCAGAAGGTGAGCATTGTACCAATTCTCCATACACATCGAGACATTTTTTTATGAATTTTACCTTTCTTTAAGTATATCAGCCCTAATCATAATATTTGTGTATTTAGTTAATTAATTATTTATTTATTTATATGCTTTTGTACATTCACTTATAAATATTAGGTTCATACCAAAATGTACACAGGCAGATGTACAGGAGGCGAATCCCTTAAAGAGATTTCTTCCAATCAACCTTAAGAACCTGAAAGAAAAAAGTATTAAACAAGTAATAAACATAGAATATTTTATATTAATTTGTATTTTTTTTTTTACAAATTATTATAAAAAAGTTACAAATGAGGTAGGATGATTTGGTAATAGGAAGATTTTTTAATGGATGATAATAGAATGGTAACTGGTAACCAGGTTATACGCTAGCAGAGTACCAGTGGGGGGTGATATATGGGGATAAAAACTAATAAATTGGCCCATTGTGATGTATTTATCAGAAATTAATCATCGTGCTTTCCATAGAATTCAATCTAATAGGGTATATTACTAGCAATTGGGCCAGTAGTCCCCATCAACTGATATGATGATGATGCAGTAGAGAGTAAATAAATAAATGGATATATAATGGACGAATCTCTGGACTCACACCATCCATAGACTCCTCTACTCTCATAAATATTCACTGAAGTCACTCAAGACAGGTTGCACTAACATTTTTTTTTTTTTTATTTTTAATTCAACAGCAAATTATTGAACATTCTTTTTTTAAACAAGTAATAATAATATACAGGCGTGGAGGCACGTGTTCTCGATCCATTCACAATCAAGCCGCTGGACGAGGAGGCGGTCGTGAAGCACGCGCGTGCCGTCGGCGGGAACGTGGTCGTTGTCGAAGACCACTATCAAGCCGGTAAGGAAATTACTTCAATTGTAATTATTTATTTCTGTTTCCTTTCTCGTGGGTGTCGTCGACTTCCCTTAGTCGATTAATCCTTAATGGTCGAGGAGTGGGCAGCAATATCCTTCTTAAAACATCATCAAAAGCCTAACTACGGTTGCCAACTTGCCTGCCAAGTGTGACAACTACTAGCAACGTTTCGACGTGGATTGTACCATGTCTTGTTCACGACAGGACGGCGAGTCCAGATTGTGTATTTAAAAATATGTGTAAACAACGCTAAAGTTTAAAATTAACTATCAATACGCCAGGTGGTGTCGGCGAGGCGGTGCTGTCAGCGGTGGCTCTAGTACGCGACATCGCCGTGAAACATGTATACGTACGTGAAGTGCCGCGCTCTGGTCCGCCCGCGGTGCTGCTCGACAAGTACGGCATCTCCGCGCCGCACATCGTAGCCGCTGCAAAAGCTGTGCTCAAGGCTTGAGACGGTGTGTTCTACTTCCTCAATTATACGTCATGATCATATCTCCTACTATATATAAAGGTTGGAGTCGAAATTATTAGCATGCTTTTAAGGGAGTGTTCTAATGCAATTTACCAGAGGAGAAGTCTACAAAAGTCGTTTCTTTGAGTAACTCTGTCCCATTCGTGTTTCTGCCGTGAAGCAGTTGTTTTTACATGACTGTCTTTTGCTTTATGGGGTGGGATATGATACAGGTAAAAATACATATATATACAGTAAAAATACAGGGTACAGAGGCATGTTAAACCTTAGTCCTCAAAAATAGTAACGCATGGGGGGTATCATGGATGAAACCAAAATACTTTGTTATATCCATAGTACTGTTCATGTCTATAAATGACAGAGCTCACTTTCCATCAGGTGGACTGTCAGCTTGTTTACCATTCTAAGTAGCATAAAAAACACGAAAAAAGTAACTGTTTCTCAATGAAAAATGGATGGAAAATAAATTGAATTTTAACCTTACATATGAGTATGGGAGATTCAATCTTTTTTTGTCGTTATGCAACCCATTTCTTTAGTAAAAATCTTCAATTTCAATAGCAGTACTCATCCTTAAAAGAATGCTTATGACTTTGTTTCATCTTATCTATAAATATTTTTTTTTTAATGTTAAAAAACTAAATAAGATTACGTTGTCATATGTATATGATATATCTACTTAAAACTATCACTAACTGCACTATAATTATGACTAATAAAAACCAATGGATCTAGAACCCTGAAGTACTACAGGAATTCCTTATGTAACCTTCGTGAACGCTATGAGAGAATAGTTCAAAAGTCGTCCTCTAAGTTGGTAAAATAGGAAATGAAAGTTCATACATTGATTATGAGAACTTTAAAAATTTCATTAAACATTTTGTAGTTCTATAAAATGATATTGTTAACGCGCTGTTCTTTAATCTAAGGAAGATACAATATTTTAACAGAAGATATTCGTATTTGAACTAAACACTAGTAGATACATAGATTATAGATATAATATGCATTGTACTATGAAAATTAGACATGTAGCAATTAAAAAAGACAAAAAAATACAACCAAGCCTTAGTAACATAGTGTCTTAGGGAAGACGACTTATTAGTAACATTTTGCGATGAATTGCTTTATTCACTGCAAAAAGAACAGTTGCGTTCATATTTAAGATTTTATGCAAATTATTGATTCCAACCATAGATTTGCGTCGTTAAATCTCTATGATAATACGGTATAGATCCAAAAATAATCTATGGTATGTTAAAAAAAATAGTTCCTAAGCATCAATTTTCTATGTATTGATAAGGTTGTTATTACACTTAGAAAAGAGCTATATAATTTTTTATAAGTATCTTATAACGTTTATAAGTGCCTTTTTAATTGAACGCACAAGGTTATTTAGACTGATGGCAAATTTCTGAAAGTTTTGATGGATTAGTATGTAAGGATACTATGTTATATTAAGATTTCGCTTTGATTTGAAATCATGTTTATCTATTGGATTTGTAACTACTGCATTTGTTGGGACCAGAGCATAGTTATTTTGTTTGCACCATATCATTTTGGATATGATTGACAGCTTCGATATATATTTTAAATTTAATTGCAGTACTTTGCAAATATTCGACATAATTTCCACTCTTAATGAAAAACTGACGGAACAAAATTGGCTATTTTAGTGAACAGCCACCTAAAAAGACATAAAGAATAAAAGTCTCCCTTTTTTAGGACAATATATTAACTAAAAAATCAGGACGTGTTTTTTCTTAACCATGTTATAAAATCTATTCTTTTTAGAAGGGTAGTTCACGAAAACCTTTTTTCTATAATTTTGTATTAGTTCCATATAATAAGAGTGGATTTATGTTTTAATGGTCCAGCCACATATTGGACTATACGTTGGATTCAATCTTGGCGTCAAATTATCATTTTTATTTTTTTTAATATCCAATGTTTGTCCAAGGTTAATCCATAAGTGTGTGTAATGGCTCCAAAATTTCGAAATATACGTCCAATATGAGGCCACGGCATAAGATAAAGGCTTCCTCTTATTGTTTATAAATAAGACACTTTATGATTCGGTTAATGTTTAATTGGGACATTTTACATTCCTGTTGATCGCATTTTTCACATTATATTATTTCTCAGAAAGATTTTCTTTAATAAAGTTTTTTTTATAAATACATTTTGCATTTTTATTTAAAAAATCTATAATAATATTAAACATTGTTTGTACATATTATTAACATCAACGTAAAACTTAATCAGTAGTGACTAGAGTGCCTCTTTCCATGGAAAATTATGTACATACATAAAGCGTAATTTCACCTGACAATAATCTCTTAATAGACAATGAGATGACGGATACGCCATTTTATTGGCAATGGCTTGGATTTATCAATTACAAAAGATTATCAAGTATAAATACAAAACTAACGCATAAAAAGATGAAAAAAGGACAAAAACAATTATGTTGATTTAAAAACTACCGAACCGGTTTTGATAACATTTCTATGGGTTCAATCTGAAAGTATATCCTTTCAGACAAACAAAAGGATTTTCCGAATCGGTTTATAACTGACGGAGTTATGTGGTAACGAACATAAAAACATAAGGACCTCCTACTTTTTCTGAAATCTGTTGAAAATAAATCAAAACAATTCAATAAGTATTATAGTGTGGTAAAAGCCAGTATTGAGTACTAATTATTAGTGTATACTGTTTTCAATTGATACAATCTCATAGTAAGCTACTTCATTATTTGTATTTATATTAATATTTTCATCAGGCTTTATACAACGTGTACACAATCCATTAACTAATTGTAGTGTGCTATATTAGAGGTGTCAAATGACTAGTTTTGTTAGTATTACCGCAATTCTAGTTTTATTAGAAATATCCCTTAATATTATGCATGTGGCCATAAATATATTGTTTCGAAATAACGTAAAAATATTAAAACTATACTAAAAATTAATCCTATTAACAACAATTAGATATTAATTTACAGGTATACGTTTTTTTGTCAATAAAATAGATACAACAATTAAATCAAGGACAATGTTTAAATAAAAGCTTTCATATATCAAGTTTAACGAAATACCACAAATAATATAATAACACAAAACATTTTGTTTATTTGAAACGAAATCACAAACACGTAGTGGACGGAGTGATGACTTTGTACAATTTTTAAATATTTTTGTATAAACGTACTACAGACAAAACAAAAATAAATGCATAATTCAGCCACCAGCAAATTTAGTAGCCAGGTAATAATTGGGTCAATTCTTTGGCTTATAAAGAGAATGTTCATATAATAATTCATCCCCATTCCCCAGTTGCCCCATCGTTTGAGGATGGCTGTTGTTCCTCGGATGGTGTCTCTGTGTTTGGTCTCTCTTCTAATTCCCCTGGAAGATAATCTTTCCAGCTTCTAAAAAGATATCTAGTAAATTTCCTTAACTGCCTAAACTTGCAATACGTCGCACCTTCCGCAGACTGCAACTGCTGAGTTTGAATTAAAAACCCCTTCTCTTTAAAAGTTTGCTCCAGCTTTTCCCTCTGCAGACTCTTTCTTGACTTTCTCTTTTTCTTATTCAACTCCTCTTTACTTAGTGATGTACTCTGTCCCTCAATTTTAGGTACTGATGACACGGAAGCCTCAGGTTCGGTAGCTCTACCCTGGTTAGAATCCCTTTGTAGATAATCATATCCTTTATTACCCTTATTACCAGTGCCACTGTAGTACCTAAAATTGCCACCGGAATCTACTGAGAGCATTTTCTTCTCTTGCAAAGAAGGTTTCGATCCCCCAGTAAACTTAAATTTACATATACTCACTTCCGTCGTGGGCGTAGTTGAGTTGCTTTTTGCAGGAATTGGTGGTATAAATATTGCGGATCTCTTCCTCTTAACTGGACCAGGTACAGGGTTCGGAGATGCCCTTTTCATTTTGGATTGCTCAGGACTCCGTTTAGCTTCTTCCACTTGTTTTATCACTTTAGGATCTAACAGTTCAGATATTTGTTTAAGCACTAATTTGTTTTTACTTTCATCTAACGATAAATTAGGTTCGGTAGATACACTTTCACTAACACTATTAGGGGTGGATAATGCCCTCTCTTGTTCTTCAAATGGCAATTGCCCTGCTGCTAGCCTTTGGTAGTACAGAAGTTGTGTCTGGAGTGCTAAAGGATGCATGTAAATTCCAGCATTTGGCCAATAGACATATCCAGGAAATTTCGGATCGCCGTCATTACACGAAGTAGACTGCGCGGGTTCAGATAAAGTTGGCGAGATGTTTCTAGTCTGTCGGGATAAATCTGGTGAACTACTCGCTGTCGATGATAAAAGATTTGTATTCCTTTGAATAACAGATATTGCGTTTGGCTGCTCAGTCTTGGGGCTTTCATGTTCAGTCATTTCTGTGTCAACTTCTGTTTTAATTTCTGGCGTCGACGTGTAAATATTGCCGAACTTCTTTTGGATCTGAATCTTTAGTTCATGCAGATCTCTAATACAAAGATTAAGAGGTTCATCGTCACTGTGCAGAGGTCCTGGAATCGTCACTGGTGCTTCAGGCATTGGTTCATCCGGACTATTAAACCTCTGAGGTGAAAGAGTTTCTAATTTCCTCTTATTCTCTGCAGACAGTTTTCGCTCTAGTAAACTTGAGATTATCTTATTTTGCAAATCAGTTTTGGGTGTGCTTATGGTATTATCACCACGGAAAGGTGAGCACATATTCAGTTGATTCAGTCTATCTTGCGTCGGAGGGGGCTGTCCAGGTACAACAGTCCCATAATTTTCATAAATTAAATGGCATATGTCTGCCTTTTTCGGTTTTCTACCCCTTCTAGGTTTTGAGTTATTTAACGTCATCTCTCCCATATATGGTAAATCTTCGTAAGTGACTATTTTACTTGGTGCTATTGCTGGATTTTTCTTTTTCTTATCGTCAGACTTACATGGTGGTTTGGCCATATTTATAACAGAGGATACTTGAGGCACAGTCAGCGTTCCTGTTTCATTTTGTATTCCTGCTAACCTCTGTGCCCATATTTTGAACGTTTCATTGGTAATGTTGTTTATGTCTATATTGGGTTCTGTTTTAGGTTTTTCTGAAGGTTTCGGCTTCTGTTGAACTTGTTTAGCATTCGCCTTTTGTAAACTTTGCTCGTAATGATCAAGGTACTCTTGCGGCAGGGCCTGATGATGGAATTTCAATTTCCATCTGTTCTTCTGTCTGTTCCTCGCGTGTTTTGGTTTTGGTGGCTCCGCTTTTTCCGCTAGACGGTCTTTACTTGCTGAAAGCAGTTGTTGCCGGAGCAATTCCTTGTTTTCTGATCTGTAATGAAAATTAATATTCATCATTTTAGTGCCTAGATGTACATTATGATGAAATCAACGTCAAATACAGTCGTTCAAAGTCCTATTTTTCCTTTACGTCATACGTATTATTTATATTTAAATCGTCAACATGTATATTTCTGTAGATAGGTTTCAAGTTTTAATTTATTAACTAGTATTTCTAATTATCACTTATTTCTAATTCTAATTATTGTTACGTAGCTATCTACATTTATCTGCTTGGAGAAGAATTATCTTTCGTGAAGAAGATATTAACAAATATATGTTTTATGTGTCAAACAAAATAAAAAGAAATATTGTCTTCGTTATAACATTTGTTATATTTGTATATATATAGTATGATCCTTGAATAAATTGCACTCAAAAAAAACTTTTGTTCGTGTTGCGATCCTTGAATAAATTGCACTCAAAAAAGACATTAACACAACAGTAAACATTGGATTGGATGAGTTAGTACCATAGCGTTACAGTATCACTGTGATATGTCCATGGCACTATTCTGATCTCATCGGTTAACTCTTTTCAAGTTACATAAATCATTTTGCGCTAGTACAATTGAAGGGGAAAGTGATTATTAGTAATGGGATCTAAAAACCCCATTGCTAGTAACATAGGTCGACTCCCACGCGGTTCCTGTGGAAACCATTGTTTGTAATTCTTGTCAAACTCCTCATAATGGGGCAACTACCTGCATTCATCCTCACCTACCATCTGTCACAGGTGCCCAACCAGCGTATACCAAAAGTGCAAGCGGAATTAACGTTTCATTTAAAAAAAAAGTACAATTGAACGTACCTATTGTGCGTGTGGTGTGCGTGCGGCGGCGCGGGCGCAGCGGGCGGCGCGGGACACACGTCGCCGCACGCCACACGGCGCATCACTTCTGAAACAACCAACGGTAACACACTTTAGCCGAATTTATCTTGTAAAACTAATTTAATTTTATTACATATATTTTTTTATTATATCAGCTATTAACTGGGGGAAGGGATTATTAGTAATGGAGACTAAAAATCCCATTGCTAGCAATATACTCAACCAGGTCAAATTCCTCGTAGTTCCCCCCGGAAACTATCATGGTTAATTCCTGATGAATGCATCATGATGGGCTAACTGGCCTGTTTTCATTCTCATCGATCACCCTTGACTGGTGCTCCGCCAGCGTATCCCGTTAACTCAGGCGGGGTTACTATACCATTTTCAACCATAAAAAAAACATCTATTGGGGTATTTTGCCAGTAGTTACCCCACTTGGTAGACAAGTTGGCAATCGCAGTTAGGTTTTGGTGATATTTCAAGAGAGACGCTGCCTGTTTTTTCCATTTCATACTATTGCTTTAAAACACATCCACATTCTTTAATGCCTAATGAAAAATAATACACAGATTTTGTAAGTAATTAATTTTGCAATCACTCTATTACTTTGTTACTATTAAAGTCAATTTGATTATTATTTACCTACCATATGGTTTACCATAAACCATATGTTAACGAAACGTGATTTCAACATTCATAGAAGATTTATTTGAATAGAATCAGGATGAATCATAGCTAAAAAAAAACTCAGTTCCGCGAAGTATACCAGGATATTGTCCTTATTTTACATAATTGTGTCTGCACAGGTTTAGTATACATATCTACGAAGCGTAACAGATAAACAATCGAAACATTTATCAATTCAATCAACTTTTCATTTATTAGAAGACTGTACAAAAGTCATTTGCTTGGGTGTCTCTGTCCCATTTGTTTTTTAATCGTGAAGCAGTTTTAATTTACATGGTTGTGTTGCGATTTGAAAGATGGGATATGGCAGTGAATTTACAGAGTACAGAAGAATATCACCTAAGTCCTCAGGAATGACAACGCAAAAGGGTTATCATGGGTGAAACAGTATATTCAGTTATTTCCATGGTAATGTTCATGTCATACACCATTCCATCAGGCGGGCCGATAGCTTATTTGCCATTCTAAGTTGCAAAAAAAAAATTGTAGAGGCAACTAATCCATGTATTCTCTTCCAGCCAGCTTTATTCCAAACCATATCTTTAATCTCCCTATATAACGTAACACCTAGTGTTTCCTTAGGTTCTAGTGCAGGACATCACTACTATAGCATATACTGTTTTAGGATCGATTATTTGTTTATTTACATTTTTAACAGATCTATTATAATCAAATTGTGTTCCACAAATAAAAATCGACTTGAATTCTGGCAAAATCAGTTATTTTGTTTTGTTAAAAAAACTGAACTATTAAACCGATTTTAATGTGTACATGTACTTTTTAATTCTAGTATTTTTATTTATAGTATGAATATAATAATAAAATATATAATATGAAATATCTATTTCAGTGCAATATTTATTGCTACAAACAAACAGCTTGTATGACTTTGTCTTAGTGTAAAATGCAATGTAAAATACTACAGATTCATCATCATCGTATTAATTGTCCACTGCTGGCCATAGGCTTCCGTACAAGAGGAGTATTGACAGTTGTTATTTATTTTTATTTATTTAAAGGAACACCAACAGCATATTGCATTATAACACATATCGTCACAGTCGTAGAATACTGACGGATCTTAATATGTAGATAATATTTGTCAGATCCATCAGTATTCTAAGACTATGACGATATAATATAATACAATATTAATGCCGTTATTAGTTATAGAAATATACATGTAACCTAAGTAACAGATACTATACTAGCCTAAGTTGTGAGTGATATCGGCATATACGATTATAAGTGAATTAAATTACGAGTAACAAATATTAAATATGTATATATATTATGATAATTAGAGTTACTTATTATTAGATTATTGTAGAGAGTGTTTCAGCAATTTATTCCTGTAGAAATTTGAACTATCATGCATTGCATCAATTTCACAGGTAATTTGGCATTAATTTCATTGTATGACGTACAAATCCCTGTCAGAGGTCGATGCAGTCCTAAGTTTGATCTGTAGCGCTGTTAGTTAGTTAGTAGTTGAAACACTTGGCAGTCTTGGCAACTTAAAATCTTCAAATACTTGTTTTATCTTGATGCGCCATCATAGCAGTACATTTTATTGGTTTTTCTACTAATGAAATCCACGCGTACAAAGTACGGACGAAAAACTAATTTCAAATAACAGACTAATCATATGGAAATATTTCGGGAAGTGATCGTAATCGGAATAACATATAAATAAATATATAAATCTCTTGTTTACTGATGGAGTCTCGGATAAAGATATAAAGCGGATCAAACACAAACATTCGCAACGGAATAATAAGCAGCGCTGTGATGGGATGAGTCACGACCAATGACTACGTATTCCTATGTATCTCTATTACTATTACTCATACAATGTACGTATATATTTAAATGTACAGACATAAATAAATATTCACAAGAGTCGAGCACCCAAACAGACGTGGACCTATGACGGCCACTTTAACCAATTCATATGACGAGACACGTAAAACTCAGCTGATAGAATTGAACAAGCGCAAAATGAATGGATACTAAAATAAGTAATATTACTATTATATCTAAATTTTAAAACAAAGTCTATACATAGAAGATGCTAAGACCAACAGATGCTTAAACAATTTTTTTTTTCTGTCTGTTTGTATGTGTGTTCTAGTATTACGCAAAAATTACTACACCTAATTGAATTCACTGTTGTGAAACTGTTGTATGATTCTATGGAACTAATCTGTAAGTATATCCAGTTATATAAAAACCAAAATTTCCAAATCGTTTTCGAATTGACGGAGGTAACAAAAATTTAAAAAATACAACCGAACCGACACACACACCAAACACCGATATCATATTAATTATCATTTCATATTTAGTCGATAGGATCTCTAGGTGTACTAATAATCACTCAGTCCACTACTGAACATAAACCTTCCCCCATATAGCAACCGCATTTAGGATTTGGTAATGTTTTAAGAGGGACCTTAATGCTCATCCTTCAACCATTAAGTTTCCTTAGTCGCCTTTTACGATACTTTTTACGGAAAATTAATAAATGAATGAATGAATTTAATTGCTAAAAATGTGATACAATAAGGTCCATATGGTAGTATTACAATACATAGTTGGTTTCACACATTTTGGCATTACTGACGTGCAACAGTCATTACAAAAGTTATGACAATATAATTCTTTAATATGTAATCATATAATGGAAGAAAGAAAGGAAGGGATGAACTATTTTATGCCGGGACCATACTGCCATATAGGTGTACTAATGCTACATATAATTATTTACGCTCTCTAAGTTATTAATCAATTATTTATACAATACTTATATGATTCTCCTGAAATAACTATTTTAATACCTGTATAAGTATCCTATAATATCGATGACTGTTTACGTGATTGTGATGTAACAGTAGGAAATCCCACGTTACATATTTATGTCACTTTTAGGGTTCCGGTATTTAAAAAGTAAAATTGGAACTCATGTTTTTATCTGTCGTAGGCATTTCATATACCTATACACTTTCCGTTTTGTATAGTTTTATAATTTTGATAAACTTATAAATAGTATAATAAATATCACAAGAATGATGATTACAGGACATGAAAATGACCCTTTGTGGGATGTCAAGAAAGACTTCAAAACTTTTATGTAATATGTAGAAAAACCTTTGCGTAGGTAGTGATCAAATACACTCCTAAAACACTTCATACCAAAAAATGTTATTTTTTTTAATATATTAATTTATGTTACATAACATTTAAAATATTTAATTTTTGATTGTGCTCAAAACTTTACTTTCTCTTATTTGTCTATTAGCTTAATTTCACTTTCTGTAATAGTAAAAACTAAATAAAATACAAATGTCATACATTCACAGCAATTGTCTAATCTTTAAATTAGAAAACTGTATTATAAGTATACAACGAACATCTGGCAACATGACCCAGAATACCCAGCTTCGATCCAGTTTAAAAAAAAACATTCTCTTTAGCGAACCCAGCGGGACTCCACTCAAAACGTGGCCGTCGTCATATCACCGTTTCACAGAAGCATTACATGATTCAGATGCCCTAAAAATGTTTCTGAGCATTTTGTGAAAAGGTATGAAACCCGAGCGCGGTGGAGTGCGGCCCGAAATACCCGCGGTCGCCACAAATGGATGTGCGCGCGCGCATGCTAAAATAAAAGACGATACCAATTTCGCAACACGCATGCGCCCACTGTGATATCATACTGTTTTAGACTTTTTTTTGTTATGTTTGGTAACATTTTTGACATATCTTACTTTATTAATTTAGTCGAGTAGAAATTTGATAACCGTTTTATCTTCCAATGGTCGTGACTTCGATTCCCGCGTAACAAAAATATATATACCTACATAAGTATGTCTGTCTGTATTAAATATTTTCTATGTATAATACTCATGTATTTAGGAACTGCTAAAAAGTGTAATATCTATACGGTATATGATAACTCAAATGCTAGTTGTTAATACAAACATACTTTGTTAAATAAATAAATAAATAAAATAAATAAATAAATAAACTCAAATGCTAGTTGTTGCATGCATACTAATGATGGCAGAATTAAACAATATATTTGTATGTAATTCCAATAATAATAAAAAAAATTAATAAATTTATTTCTTTATATAAAGGTAGTTAATTACATTACAGGGTTTGGTATCTCCTGTTAAGCAAAGATTGCTTGTGTTAGGAGAATTCTAATCAACTAAATGTTAAAAATTCTAATGGGCTACATTTTCCTTTCCCGTGAGTGTAGTAAGAGGCGACTTATTGGTCAATGGATGGACAGCAGCATCCTTCTTAGATCATTACCAAAGCCTGCCAAGCGTGGCAACTACTGGCAGAACCTCCTAAGGGAGGCTCATATGT